CTGGATCCTCTTTATGGCCCTTCTTGAAGATGGGAGTCACATCAGCGAGCCTCCAATCCTCCGGGACCTCTCCAGTTAACCAGGAGCGCTGATAGATGGCTGAGAGCGGCTCGGCAATCACCCCACCAGCTCCCTCAGCACTGAGGGTGCAGCCCATCTGGTCCCATGGACTTGTGACAGTCCAGGTGAAGAAGGAGCTCTCTGACTGTCTCCACCTGAATCGCGGAAGGTATATTCTGAGTAGCATCCCAGACTTGATAACTGGATAACTGGTCTGGCTATTAAAGGCAGATGTAAAGAAGACATTGAGGCCCTCAGCCTTCTCCTTGTCCTCAGTGGCCACATTCCCTGTTGCATCAAGTATAGGATGAAAATTCTCCTTGGTTCTTCTTTTAATGTTGATATATTTATAAAAGGATTTCTTATTCTCTTTTACTGCAGTGGTCAATCTGAGTTCAAGTTGGGCTTTTGTCCTCTTAACTTCCTCCCTGCATACCTTATCAACTTCCTTGTAATCCCCCCAAGCAGCCTGTCCCTTCTTCCAGAGGACATAAACTCTCTTCTTCTCCCTGAGTCTCAACACTAGTTCCCAGCTCATCCACACTGGTCATCTTCTCCTGCGGCTCACCTTACGGCACTCAGGGACAGCCTGTTCTTGTGCCTTTAAGATTTCCATCTTGAGGAATGTCCAGGCTTCCTGGACCCCTTTACCCTTAAGAAGTGACTCCCAAGGGACCCGTGCTACAAGTGTCCTGAACAGATCAAAGTCCGCTCTCTGGAAGTTCAAGATAGTAGTTTTGCTGGTCAATCTTTTGACATCTCCAATAACAGGGAATTCTACAATTCCATGGTCGCTCTGCTCAAGACAGTCCCCAACCTTCACATCTCCCACCAGTCCTTCTCTGTTAAGTGAAAACCAGGTCTAGCAGGGCAACACCCCTGGTAGGCTCTCCTACCAGTTGCATAAGGAAGCAATCTTCCATGCAATCTAGAAACCTCCTGGACTGCTTTCTCTGTGCTGTATTATGTTTCCAACAGATATCAGGGAAGTTGAAGTCTGTCACGAGAACAAGTGCTGGCGATCATGGGACTTCCATGAGCTGCTCATAGAATGCCTCATCCATCGCTTCATCCTGATTAGGTGGTCTATAACAGACCCCCACCAAGATATCGCTCCTACAGGCCTTCCCCCAATCCTTACACATAGACTCTCAACTTTGTCATTCCGAACTCCAAGCTCTTCAACATCAAGACAGTCTTTAATACAAAGGGCCACACCACCACCCCTCTTTCCTCCTCTATCCCTTCTGAAAAGCTTGTAGCCATCCAATGAAGAGATGATTGTTTTCTGCATATGAAATTGATAGCAGTCCTTGAAAGGAATGTATTACCTCTGCACATCCAAGGTCAAAATATGGAATTCTGTGGTGTGCACTGAACTGCACATGTGAATTCATCTATGAGCTTAGCCTGGCAGTATTTTTTATTTTGATAGCCCAAGCTCCAGAATTAACATGGTCTGTCTAGAAACCTCAATAAAAGGAAGACTTTTGCCAAGAAGCATTCTGGGACAGCAAACATGAAGCCCTTCTTACAGACAGCAGCATGCAAAATTTTCCTTCCCAGGGATGGGGAGCTACGCTGCCTCCTGATACTAGCAGAGGTTTGCATGTTGGTCTGATTTTGATGTTTAGACTGACAGCACTTGCTCCCTTCATTTCCTAGTAGGGTAGTTCAAAGAACAGTTCATCATATAAGCTTTTCTGCTGTATTAAGTTAAGCAGAGGGTACTATTTAGTTCCTCATATTTAAGGAACTAGCTGTTCTAATTTTTCTGGAGGAAATAATTTTAGGGGAAAAGATACAAATCTAGCTAAATTCACTTAATTAATGAAAATGTAAATCCATTAGATTCTCTTTGCTGTGAGCACCAGTCAAAAATCTCTGCAAGAGTTTGGATATGATGAATATTGCCACTAGAAGTACATAAAGTATTAGAAATATCTTCTATCATAATGCAGGATGTAAACAGAAACTAATTTATTTGTATGACTTTCACTTAGTGCAAGTGAAAAGACAAGCCTAAATACCACGGGTGGATTTCTGGCTTATCTTGGAGATTGCATTTATTTTAGTTAATTATTTTGATATTTTCCATTCAATTATCAGATTAAAGTTGTTATGTAAAATGGACTTTCGATAAGAAAAGATTACTTCAGATTTTGCTTTAGAAGAAAGTATAGCAACATTGACATCTACAGAATTCTAAGTTAAAAGAGACAATTAAATTCAATAGCAGTTCCACCTACATACTGTGTGCCCTGTTATTACACAGAGTATGAATCCACTATAAATCTTTACTATCAGAATAATACAAGATTGAAGATGAACAGTATTTAATTTTCTGCCTGGATCTTCTAACATTACTACATTTATTAAAACTTCTGATTTTCTGTTTGCTTTGTTATTGTTTTGTTTGTTTGTTTTAACATCATCATAGACATTGATATTTATTGCTTTGCGCTGTATTTCAGGCATCTTAGGACCTACTAGGTGTCTCCTGGTTTTCAACTTAAGAATTTACAGTAAGCAATCCTCCAGTCTGCAGCGGTCCAGAATATCACGACAGCTTCTCAAACCTGTTCATTTTGTCAGTCGCACTCTACATGCAGTGGCACTACGCCTACTGTCTAACAGAAGGCAGGTGCATTTGCAGAGATAACAGCTTCCCCAGAACTCAATTATTTCACTAATTTATAACTAGATTATTTGGAAAAGATGTATCACCTGCTTGCTGGTCATAATTCCCCTTTTGCACTAAGCAACATTCACTAAACTGTGCATCTCTTTCTACCAAGCTGCAGGCTGTTTTACTAGAAGCAGCTGGAAAGGTCGATGGACTAAAAATCAGAAGATCCCAATTCCATCTTTAACTTTTTAACTGATTCACCCAACTTCACCTTGAACAACTGCGCTCCATATTGGTTTCCCTTGTCCATTTGTAAAGACATTTCAATAACTTTGATATTTATGGAAGGATGAAAAAAGCTGCTTAGTGATAAACAGTTTAACACTGATAATTTAACAGCTTTGTGCTACCTGCTACTTGGTAATGCGGATAGAAAAACATTACAAGCAATTCTTCAAAGAACCATTAGGGTTTTCAAACACATTTTTGGTCTGTTTACATTTGATTAACGTTTGCCAGATTGAGATTTATTCCCAGTGGCTTCAACTGTGTATGTTTGGATGCTTGTAGGGAATGCATGCAAACTTTTAATGCTTCCTCGCAAATTTCAAGAGCGTTCTTTGATTTTCTTAAACAAACAATGGCAGCACTGTTTTAAGGCAGACAGCTGACATTTTCACTAAGATAACCTAAGGTCTGAAGAAATTTTCCATAAAAATTGCCAATTTAATAATTTTAATTCACAAGGACGTTTCACACAACTGCTTGTATTCCACAAGCAGAAAGAAATTCAATTACTTATTTCAATTTATTCTGTCTTTTCTAATAAGGGACATTTCATAAAATGTACACATGTGACTTCAGGGGAGCACTCAGAGTACATTCAGAGGACAGCCAAAGTTAATAAATTGCAAACATTCCAGTTCTTAGCCTCGTTTATATTATTTCCCACTTTTTTTTTTTTTTTTTTTTTTTTAAGAAAATTAGAATATAGAAATTACTTCTTGAGTAAATGACACACAATTGCAGTTTCTCTACTTAGTGTCAAAATCTCTTTTTCTTCTTTTCTCTTCTTGCTCCTAGGAGGATTAAAGATTTCCTTTCAGGGTGGAAATATATGATTATTAGGGTATAGTTTCTCCTTGACTGGAATGACTATCAAATTCATTATATCTTTTCCTGACATTTGCATCTTTCAAGCTCCTACAATTACCTAATAAAGAAACTTAGGACCATTGCATAGTTGTAGATTTTTCTTAGAAGAAGAATGCCTAAACAACATGTTTTGGTATTATTTGACAAAAACAGGTGTATGAGAAAATCACCTCAATGTTCAATGAGTGAATTGTTTTCTTTTCTAGGCTAAGGATCTGTTGTTGAAAACAAGAATTAGCTTTAAAACATCAAGAGCTCTTTTCCTGGCAGGCTGTTTACTAAAGATTATATCCAGTACATTTGGTACTAAGTGCCAAAACAAAGGTAGTTATAATTGTCCTCCAGAAAGCTTACTATGGCAAAGCTCTAAAGTGTCTGGGAATTCAGGGCAAAGATCTGGAGCAGGGGCATTTCAGTGGGATTTTTCTTGCTCTCTGCACACACTGCTTTCAAAGAGCAGCGTGTTCTGTTCTTACAGAGCTTAATTGAGCTTCAGGAATCTAAGAGACCTGAAGTAACCAGAACTGTGGGGCCAGCAGTGCATTCAGAAGGATCAAACTAACAAAGCAAAAAGCAAAACATCTCTTCTTCAATTCATGCTAACTGCAAAGTAACTAGCAACACAATAACTGCAATCAGTTTTTTCAGGGGAGAGGATGTTGAGTTCAGGAGAGGCAGTGAGCACGCATGCCCATGGAATAGCAACCAGCTTAGACACATCTGAGCTCTTTCTCACAGGCAGTATGGAGAGAACGAGGGACACTGTAACAGGAAGCTAAAGGATAACGGTTAAGAAATAGGGACAGTAAAACAAAAATGTTAAAATGAATCTCATCTGGGAAAGCATTCGTGCTTTCCTTCCCTATCATTATGGAGTCAGGTTTGTGGCTAGCATTGATGCAACCCTGATTCATTTACTAGTGGAAATAAGAAGGAGCAGTAGGAGTGAAACACAGGTTGCATCTGGGAAGTAACAACTACCAGAACTTTATCGGAGCTGAAGTAGTCATCATTTCATCTGATCTGTTATGTAATAACAGTGTTACCTTAAAACACCATTAGTGGTATGGTCTCCCCATCTTCCATACAATTGAGCTGTAGTATGAGTCACACAGTAACAACCCAATGGGTAAGCATCTAAAAAGCAGTGCCTTACTGTATCTCAGCAGCTGGTCCACATCTCAGAGCTGAGGCATGTTCCACGCAGACTAACAGACCTAATCCAGACACAGCAGTGGTGAGTAAGGTGGTTCTTTGAGCTGAGACCTGGAGCAAATATAGAATGCAAGCATAATCATAGTCTGCACTTTATTTTTTGTATCATCAGTAAAATGTCTGAAGTGGTCCCTATCAATGAAATCCCTACAGGATTTATACTGTTTAAAAAGTCAGAAAACAGTGAGTCGAAACAACAGTTTCTTCTTGAAGAAAATTGGATGAGCTGACCTAGTTTCAGGGAGTTTACCCATTCAGGTGTGGAAAGAAGCAAGAACACAGCTTCAGCTGATACCCAGAATGGAATTTAACCTGTTTCCATTCTATTTTGCAGCTGTCTATTAGAAAGAATTTATTCTGGTTGTGTACGATAAACTTACAACTACAAGGAAGATGTCTGTAAACATACAAAAAAATATTTTTTCCCTTACTAAAACAAATAGGTCTTGGTGTTATCCAAGTGTTGGCTTTAAAAATGTCTCTTCAGGGAAAAAAAAAAAGCATACTAGAACATTATCACCAACAGAAACATCTGCGGTGTTGCACATCATGGGCCAAAAACTCATGTGTGTAAATGTAGCTTTCAGAGACTAAGAATTACATGCCCACACAGCAGCACAGAAGGAGTGAATGTCTCAGATACAACATCACTAAGCTGTTCAGACAGAAAATCTGAAAAACAGTAGCTTACAGATTTCTCTCAAGATTCTTTTAAATTACATTTTTCTCTATCTAGAGTTGCATTACTTTCCATCTTTGTATGGTATTTGAAATTAGTTGATGTTGCCAGCTGATTAACAATAATGATGAATGCATTTTGCACCAAAGAAGCACTCTGAAGATTGTGACAAGAAAGGTGTTAGAAGACACCTAATCTTAATCACTTATTCCTGAATAATCCCAGTCCTGGGAGTACACTAAGCTTGCAACTAGCTGCTAGTCAAACTCAGGCTATTCAATGTGCACAGAGGATTTCTTTCTGTATGCCTGAGGTCACTGTGCTGAATTCCCTTTTAAAATATTAAGTGCTAATTTCTCAACTGCTGAACATTTTTCTTAGGTACATTAAAATAATAATACATTTTCTTCACAGTGCTTGATAGTGGTAAATAGATTTGAACAAGCAGTCATTGCAATAAGTGACTTTTTGTATGATATATAAGAGTTTCTGATACTTTTGCTAACCACAGATTCTCCGGAGCTCAAAAGTGGATGCTTCCTTTCTTGTGCAAAAAGTCTCTGTGCAAAAGATTCCTTAAACATCTAAAACAAAATCCTGCTTTTCTTAGGTGTTAAATGCACTGTGATGTCTCTTGCAGCTTGTAATACTTCTAGACACATGGAAAGCTAAAGTCTTCAGTTAAGTTACTACCAGCATTAAAATCCTGAAATGCTACAATGTATTTTGACCCTTCATGTCAAAATGAATGAAAAACAAATTAAATTCTGACTGAGCAGACCTTTTTAAAGATATGTGTTAGTTAAGAAATGTTTCTCTTACTACGTACAGGTTAATTTGTTATTTGTACAGGCAAAAATAAGCCTTTTTTTTTTTCCATAAAAGCTGGAACATCTTAACCTTGGCAGCTGCCAGAATTTCTAGCCTTAATGAGCTAGTTATTGATATGGCTCTTTGTCATTTATCATCATAATCGGTTGGTTGTTTTTTTTTCCCAGAGTAAACAGCTGTGGGTATTGTTGACAGGAAGGTACAAGGGATTTGCCAAGCTGGAAGATAACAATACATAAGATGATATATAGCTGTTATCTTTGTCTTTTGTCCCCCATCTGTCACCCACTGAAGATTTGTTTTCTCTCCGAATCTAACAAGTTCTCAGTAACATCTCACCTTTCCCATTCATTGATTTATTCAGTGCCCCCCTTTAGCCCTTTGATGTGGCCACATTTCTCCAGGTATAATTGTGCAATTTTACTCCAGAAATGTAAGAGCATGTAACAGGTTCATTTTCAGCAGTCACTAGCAGCAATTTACATCACTTCTGTGAACTCAGACTGACGCCTCAGACTCAGAGAGCAGCATGCCTGCGGTTACTTCACTGATAGGGCAGTAAATGAATGTTGAAATGCACTGTTTTGATTTTCCTGATTTTTTTAATTTTTTTTAAGTACTGTAACATTTGTTACAATTTTTTTTCAAACGTTATTTGAAGAACTGTTTAGATCAGTGGTTATAAAGCTTTGAATTTACCTCTGTGGTCAACTATAGTACAACCAGTATAAAACTTCAGTATGTACTGACATCAGACCTTCAGTGCTCATTTCTATAAGCCAGTGTGTAGTTTGGGTACTCTCCTGTATGCGTGCAACTACGGTTGTGTATATGCCGTCACGACAACTTTTATTATTTTGTTTTGTTTGTATTATTATTGTATATTCTTAATTCTTAAAAAATGGAAGTGCTCATTGTCACAAGAAGAACATAATGTATATAATTCCTAGGCAGATGCAACCATAAAAGTCAGAAAGAAACATGCAAATCCTTGAAGATATGACTCCTCTCAACTCTGTCTAAGAATCTCTGGAATGCTAACTTGCAGCTCACTTGGCCAGCTCTTAGATCAGTGAAGACATTTTTGCAGACAGCACCAAATTGAGCGTTGCAGATGATACACTGGAAGGAAGGGAAGCCATGCAGAGGCCCATGAAAACCTAATGAGGTTCAGTAAAGCCAAGTGCAAGGCGTTGCACTTGGGCAGGGGCAAATTTCAGGTGTTTATACAAGCTAGGAGGAGAAGCCCTTGAGAGCAGCCCCAGTGGAGAAGGATTTGGGGGTTTTGGTGGACGAGAAGCTGGACATGAGCCAGCAGTGTGCGCCTGCATCCCGGAAGGCCAACTGTGTTCTGGGCTGCATTAAAAAAGGGGTGGCCAGCAGGGAGAGGGAGGTGATCGTCCCCCTCTACTTAGCTCTTGTGAGGCCCCATCTGCAGTGCTGCGTCCAGGCCTGGGCCCCCCAGTACAGGAAGAACGTGGAGCTCTGGGAGCGGGTCCAGAGGAGGGCACTGAGATGATCAGAGGGCTGGAGCAGCTCTCCTATGAGGAAAGGTTGGGGGAACTGGGCTTGTTTAGCTTGGAGAAGGCTCCGAGGAGACCTCATTGCGGTCTTCCAATACTTGAAGGGAGCGTAGAAACAGGAGAGGGAACGGCTGTTTACAAGGATAGGTAGTGATAGGACAAGGGGGAATGGTTTTAAACTGAGGCAGGGGAGGTTTAGGTTAGATATTAGGAGGAAGTTTTTCACACAGAGGGTGGTGACACACTGGAGCATGTTGCCCAAGGAGGCTGTGGATGCCCCATCCCTGGAGGCATTCAAGGCTGGGCTGGATGTGGCTCTGGGCAGCCTGGTTTGCTGGTTGGTGACCCTGCACATAGCAGGGGGTTGGAACTAGATGAGCATTGTGGTCCCTTTCAACCCAGGCCATTCTATGATTGTGATATGTCACCTAAATTGCCAAGGAATTTTGCGTTAATGCAGACCAAGTCTTTTTTGAGGAAATAGATGTGCAGGCAAGCAAGAAGAAATTTTACAAAACAAATTTAACTTAGGAGGAAGAAAGTTAAGATTATCATAGAAACTGATCAGTTTTATTCATCAGGTATACCTTTGAGTGTTGTGCTCACATGTTATTTTGATTGCACTTAATAAATCATCTCAATATGAAGCCAATTTACCTGAATTACAAACAAAATATTCTGCTTACATAAGAGCATTTCTTAATAATCAAAGCTAAAATGTTTCTGTCACAGAATCACAGAATCGTAGAATCACCAAGGTTGGAAAAGATCTATCCACCTATCACCAATATTTCCCACTAAACCACATCCCTCAGTAGAACATCTAAATGTTTCTTGAACACCTCCAGGGACGGTGACACCACCACATCCCTGTGCAGCTCATTCCAGTGCCTGACCACTCTTTTGGAGAGGAAGTAAAATTCCCAAACATCCAAACTGAGTTTCCCCTGGCACAACGTGAGGCCATTCCCTCCAGTCCTATTGCTAGTCACATGGGAACACGCTGACTCCCACCTCACCATCATCTCCTTTCAGGAACTTGTAGAGAGCTATAAGGTCTCTCCAGAGCCTCCTCTTCTCCTGAATAAATAATCCTAGTTCCCTCAGCTGCTCCTCATGTGACTTGTGCTCCAGACCCCTCACCAGCTTTGTTGTCTTCTGTGAACACACTCCAGGGCCTCAGTGTCTTTCTTTTAATGAAGGGCCCAAAACTGAACACAGTACTCAAGGTGCAGCCTCACCAGTTCCCTGCTCCTGCTGCCAGCACTGTTTCTGATGCAAGCCAGGATGCCATTGGCCTTCTTGGCCACCTGGGCACACTGCTGGCTCATGTTTAGCTGAGCACTGATCAATAGCCCCAGGTCCATTTCCTCTACACGGTCTTCCAGACATTCTGCCCCAAGCCTGTAGCGTTGCCTGCAGTTGTTGTGGCCAAAATGCAGGTCTTGGCACTTGTTGATCTTCACCCCATTGGCCTCAGCTCAGCTATCCAGGCTATCCAGCTTTCTCTGTAGGGCTTCGCTACCCCCAGGCAGATCTACTTCCAGCCAACTTGGTGTCATCTGCAAACTTACTGAGGGTGCACTCAATGCCCTCATCCAGGTCATCAATAAAGACACTGAATAAGACATGCCCTAATAACGACCCCTGAGGAACACCACTTGTAACTGGTAACCAGCTGGATTTAACTCCATTCATCACCACTCTCTGGGCCCAGCCATCCAGTCAGTTCTTCACATAGCAAAGAGTGTACCTGTCCAAGCCACAGGCTGCCAGCTTCTGCAGAATACTGTGGGAGACAGCATCAAAGGCTTTGCTGAAGTCTAGGTAGACTACATCAACAGCCTTTCCCTCATCTGCCAGATCGTACAAGGAGATCAGGTTGGTCAAGCAGGACCTGCCTTTCATGAACCCATTCTGGCTAAGCCCGATCCCCTGGTTGTCCCACAAATGCTGTTACTACAAAACAAAAAAAATACATATATTTTTACATTTTGAATCTCTTTTTCTCTTCTTATGAGTGTCTGTGAAGAATTTATGTGTAAAAGCAGCTCCAGGATACAGTAAAGAACCTCTTTGCTTGACACTGCACTGACCTCAGCTATCTAAACTGAACTTGGCCTGCTACCGCAAATTGATAGCCAGGAGGGTAATAGCTGAAAATTACTGGCCAGTGAAAGGCAACAGTTTAGAGCTGCTCAGTCCCACTCTCCTTTATAGCCGTAAGATGGGTATGTGATCGTCCCTTTTCCACCCACAGAAATAAAACAGCCACACCAAAAAAACATGGTTTCCACCTAAAGAGTCAGAAGTAAAACCAAGATGATGAAGATTTATCACTTCTTATTTTGTATCTTGGCAAGTCACCTAAACTGTTTATCAACCATCTTCTCTGAAAGTGATGAGGTGAGGGTTCTCACTGTTACTCCGTTAAATGAGGAATCATATTAGTAAAGCTTTTCAAACTCTCTGAATGAAATGTAGTTTATACTGCAATCGTTTTTTATTTTTTTTACTCATGATGTCAGTTCTCTAGATGGCTGTGTTTGCTGCTAACATCATTCTCAAGGTTGGGAACTGTTGGTCTGCCTTTCAAATTGTTCCTCACCTTCACACATTGCATTCTGCATTCTGCAGTCTCTTGTTCAGTTCTCACCTTGTGATCTTTTGCCTCGTTCTGACAGCTCCCAGTTTTTCATTTCCTTCAATGCTGGATCATTTATACCAATTAGTTCTTTGAAAAAGCAACCTTTTGGCAGACATCTAGTGTATTTCCTCCAGGGAATCTAAGACAAATCACTTTACTCTCAAGGTCCCCCTTCATGACTGCATCCCAGTTCTTCTGCCTTTTAATCATACGGAGAAGTTGTCTCTGCCTCCACTGCCAGGCTTGTTTACCGGTGAATATTCCAAAAATATCAAGAACCACTGTTCTACTTTCTCCCACATTGCCTTTTATGCATGGGAGGAATTTCTTTAATTAATTTTAGCTCTGAAACGCTTTGCTGTAACTGTAGGTAGATGCTAGGCTGTCCCCACTGCTAAAGAACTTTGTCTTCATACTGGGAGAAGGACAGAAGAGATGATTCTGGCTAAAAATGTTTAAAATTGGTTTTCAGCATGCAAAATAAACCAGACAGTTCCTGCAAGAAGCTGATTGGAGTGTCACTCTCCACTCTGCAGAAATTTAATCTGTCTGGCCAGTGAGAATGACTCGCATCAGGGGCTGAGTCTACTGGCTTTTTCACTTATAAAAAATATTCTTTGTTCAAATTAACTGAGGCTGTTTCATCTGAATTGCCATCCTTAAATAACTGTCCCACTAAGAGCAACCTTTCAACCTCATGCCACTCTTTTAAAATCTAGGCTAGCTCTTACCTATAGAGATGCAGGCTGATATTCTAAATACATAGAGCAGTATGAAAAATGGCTTTGATAAGGTTGCTTATAATTTGAGGCTGTAAAATAGAATTCACGCTGTGTTTATGGCGTGATCTGTTCTGTAATCTGCAGAGAAACTAATTTCAAAAACACTGTAACCATAAAAGCAGCTGCTCCACTGAGTCATTTTCCTAACATGCAACTAAAAACAAAACAAAACAGAAAATTCTCTCCTAGTTGTAAATTAAGTCTGTTCATGTGATTATGGAGTAGGATAATGCTAGGAACGTGGAGAAAAACAACTCGAGAGTCATCTCTGCACTCCTTTTATACCAGAAGTTTGGAAGCGGAGTAAAGAGCCTTCAAAGTTAAAAATCTCAGTTTTGAAGAGATATTAGTATCTAAACTAACGATGAACAGCAGGACATGTATTCATAGTCAGTAACTGTTTGCAAATATAAGAATGAGTCTAGGATTGGGAGGAAAATAACTAATAATAACACAAGATACTTCAGTTGAATACATTAAAAAATCCATGTATGCATGTGCAAATGTTTTTGATTGTGAAAGTATCTAACAGTCTCTAGAAGAGAAGGTAGTAAGAACTGGCAAACAATATGAAGGAAACTGCACTACTCAAAAGGAAAATAAAGGGAAAACATGTATTGCAGGTGTTAACTTTCTCACCAATTGAAAACCGAGTGATCAAATAGAAAGCCTTTTTTTTATATTTAGAAAGGCCCTTCAATACACTTAACTTTTGAAAGGAAAATATAAACTCAGTTCTATCAAAATGAGTCTTACACTGAAGTTCAAAATAAGTTTGTTCTTTTCTTATTGGAAAAAAAATGATTTTAAAAAAGAATAGAAAATTTAATATGTTCCCATTTTGTGACTGCTGCACCAATCAGAATTTAATTTTTGAAGACCTGCGATCTAGAGACATTTACTTCTCATATTCTATGCCTTAGAGATACAGACTTCCTAACAAAAAGCACTAAACGTGCCATACATGTGTTCTTGTTTGCAGATATCTCAATAAGCTTGCTTTCCCTAGTTGTCACAGCCTGTGGTCTTGCTCTGTTTGGTGTGTCCCTGTTCGTGTCCTGGAAGCTTTGCTGGATTCCTTGGCGAGAGCGTGGCCTGCCATTTGGGAACAAAGAGAAACAAGAGTCCCTGAACTACACAGATACAGAGACCAATGACCATGACTACAGCGAGGATTATCTTGGTCAGCCAACAACCTACCCAGAGTCCTCCATGAAGATCAGCCACACCTCTCCTGATATCCCAGTGGATGCTCAGGGGGAGACAAAGGAGAACTGTGTACACAATGCACGAATGCATCGTCAGATCACTGAACCAACCTCTTCTGCACGGTCAGTAACTTCAATTTATCTCTACTATTAATGAATATGGACATAGCCAAAGAATTACAGCTTGATTATCTATCTGGTATGCTGGTCTATTACGAGTTCATAATTACTGGTCATGTTCTTTTTTTTAAAAAAATATGTAAAATTATCAAGGTGCACAAGTCTCTTAGATTAAAAGCACAGGATCACAATGACATTCCACCATTGTGTCAGCTATTGCCTCATTTGTGCCTCTCTGTCAGCAGCGAGAGAAGTGGGTGCCTTAAAGCACCATAACAGCCTACATTTAGCTTGTAAAGCATATCCATTTGCACTAAGCAGTGATGCTGAGCACTCAGTAATGTCTCCTCGAACATTTTTAAAACAGCTAACGAAGAAAAGTAGGGCAAGCTAATGAAACACTTGCAAGAGTTAGGGATAGGACTTAAAGTCATAGATTTTAGCCACAATCATAACTGTGGGGGTGACAGTGACTGAACAAGAGTCAATGAAGACTCCAGGGGAACAGGAGAACTAACCCCGGAGGGAACAGGAAACAAGCAGGGTGTGACCATTTGGGGACAGATGATAAAAGGATTAAGGTTCACACAGTAAGAGAAAGGATCAATGTGCAGAGAGTCAGTCAGTAAATTTCTGAGTCTAGCTGGGAAGGTACAGCAGTCGTCCAAGAGTTTCCTGGTAGCCTCTTTTCTGGTCACCTGGGTAAAAGGACAGCAGCTCTCAGCCACTTCAGGAATTGCCAGTAGTGCAAAACATATGTTGCAGAAATTGAGAAGATCCCAAAACAACATTAATGCTGTGAAGCAAAATCTCCAAGTACTTTTTCTCTTTAGATTAGTGTAAGAATGGGCTCATTTTGATGTAGGAATCGCTGAGGTCAAACCACAATTACAGATGCTCAAGTTTGCACTCTACCGCATGCAAGGCTGAATTCTGACCCAAAACTGATACCCCAGAACTACAGGGCTGGTGCTGCTCTGTTTACAAAGTGCTAGGAAATAAGCATGTTGTGAGATTCATTAACAACAGAAGATTCATATCGAATATCTAACACCAAGAACTCTCATATGTTTATATGTCTTTGGTATCGTGAAATCATGGAATCAAATATAGGAACTCTTCTACAACAGGCTAGCACTTCTGACATGTGGTCAAACGACCACAAATGCGCAGTATCACCACCGTGTAGTCATCTCACAAGAAACAGCCACAATTACGTCTTCACTTCTGTGAATTTCTGCAGTTTGTTTTTCTGCCAGCTGTTCCTAGTCTGTCTCTATGCCCACAAGGAAATGACTTGCCCAGGTCTCCTCACTATTCTGTTTGCTGATAGTAGGATCGCTCATTACAGTTTCATTCATTACCTCATATGTTTGCCCAGGTCTTTTTCAAAAGACCTTTCCAGAAAAAGGAGGGGCCCATCTTTATTGTACCACACCTTTCGTTTGTTCACCTTTGTCTCTGCTCCTACCTCTCCTTCCTTGCATAAGTCTCCTGTGTGGCCACAGAGACCAGGCACCTGCCTCTGCTACAATCCTTGTTAAGACTTCGGCAAGGAAGCATTCCCTCCTTTTTACTGCTCCAAGGATATTCTGCACCTCCCACTGCTCCGAGGAACTTACAGTTGAACAGTATACATCTTCTTCTGTGACTTGATAATATTTTTTCATGTCAATTACCTATGTATACCTATAAAATTATGTATTTATTGTATACCAACAGAAAAAAATATGAGGGTAGTTTGTAAGGGGATTTGCACATCCATAAACACACACTTAGAAGGAATAAAAGAACAGCAGAAGCAAATAACTATTGTTGATTACATTCAATATAAATAGTTTTGACTTAACCCTATGTCAGCATTTTCCACGTTATCCTTTCATATTCAACCACAATTCATCGTACTCCAATACACTGAACAATTGCTGCATATGAATGGGACAATAAAGTAGAAACCAACTCATAAAATTAAGATTTTACCTAATCCAGCTTTCACATCCCTGAAAGTGATTCACCCCTGCAGTGATTGCAGATTTGATTTCTGTTATCTCATGAAGTGGAAATTTCAATCACAATAAAAGAGTGAATCCAGGTAATAAATCTCACTGGACTGAAGATAAAACAACTTTCTCTCCTTGGAGTAATGAAATTAAAGGAGCTTTGCAGCCTAAGTACTTCAGAGCTCATTACATCAGTCATGAGTGAAAAACAAAAAGAAACAACTAATGGGAGGATCAACAAATAACTTCAGGCCAGAATAGTTCACTTAGCAATGGGGTAGTAGTGGAGATCAACAAGTCACTGAAACGCAGAGCTATGAAGAAGTATCTTCTTTTTCATCTTTATCTTGACACCAGAAATCACCAAGCTCAGTGGGTATGTCAGTTGTAATAGGATCTAGCCTGTAATGACCTATTTTCATAGGCATTAATCCAGAAGATTCTGCAGAAAATGGTAACTGATAACAGTTACTGGCAATAGACTGTAATACAGTAGATTTGCAATGGCAGTGAATTTGAGTTTGTTACATTCTTCAGCCAAATTTGGAGAGTTTATACCACTAGATTGAGAAAATTAATTATTGTGTTTTATAACATTATGCAAGTAAAAGTCTGACACTGCGGATGTTGTATGTTGAGAAAACACATTAAATGAAAAGAGGATCTTCACTGTGTGCACAGATTCTTATGATCGCCAACCCAACCTATTTCTCTTGTTTTCACTTAAGGCATAACTCAATCCGAAGACAGCTCAACCTCTCCAATCCTGACTTCAACATTCAGCAGGTTCAGAAACAGGAGCAACTGACTGGAATTGGCCGCATTAAGCCAGAGCTGTATAAACAGAGATCCGTGGACACAGATGATGGCCGGAGGAGTAATAGCAAGGCATGTGGAAAACTGAACTTTATTCTGAAATACGACTGTGATTTAGAGCAGCTGATAGTGAAGATACACAAGGCCATCAACCTGCCAGCAAAAGACTTCTCGGGAACTTCAGATCCATATGTGAAGATATATCTCCTTCCTGATAGGAAAACAAAACACCAGACTAAAGTGCACAGAAAAACCCTAAATCCAGTTTTTGATGAAGTTTTTTTATTTACTGTTCCATACAATGATCTGAATGCACGGAAGCTCCATTTCTCTGTCTATGATTTTGACAGATTCTCCAGGCATGACTTGATTGGCCAAGTGGTAGTGGATAATTTTTTAGAATTGGCAGATTTTCCCAGGGAATGTAATATTTGGAAGGATATTGAATATGTCACCAATGTAAGTACAATCTTTTTTTTTTTTTTAATTTAAATTCTTGTTTTCTTATTTTATTTCCATGACTTGATTGTAACTAAAATTCACTTATCAGTTTATGAATGAAGATACTCTGTTCTCTATTTTTCTTGAGATTTGACCTTAATCCACAGAAGCTGACAGTACAATTTCAGTCTTCATTTCTCATTCTTTGGCTATATTAAAAGAATGCCTTATATTTCTCTTCTAATAGGATAGAAAAGTCATAGAATAATAGAAAGCCTTCCTCTAAGTCTCACTCAATCTAAAATTTACTGAGGAAACACTGCTTTTCTTACTTCGCTTGTTTTTCTTTGTTTTCCATTATTTCCCCACAAATTACAGTATACATATCAGAACTACAGATTTAGATTTTCTCATGTAGCATTCTTTAGTGCTTTAAAAGGGTGCTTTCATATAAAGTCAGATAACAGCTCATCTATAATCCAGGCAAGCTGAGTTCAGACAATACTGTCCAAAACAGAAGCGACTTACAAAACTCAAGAGACAGAAAAAAATAAATTACAGCCACACCTCAGTACACATTCCATAGAAGAAAAAAATGTAATTGATTGGATTAAGTCCTTGATTGGCACAGATTTCTTATGTAGGGAAAAGGGAAACTTGTGAAATATGTCTGTATTACATCTTGAAGTTCAATGAAGGAATCCCACTTGGGATTAGGTACAAGACCACAAATTTTACTCCTGGAAAAAAAAGCATTCTTAATGCATGAGCCAGCCTCTTAGTAAAGCAAATAGAAATTAATAATGCAGACCCTATGGAGAACAGACTTTCAGCAAGAATGACGCACTACAGAAATCCACAAAGGGAAAGCTGCTGATGCCAAGGGTCAGCAAATATTTCATTTGAAAATTGATTTGAAATTTGATCAAATTTCATTTGATCTTTTGAAAGATCAAATCATACTCAAATGGAGAGCATGATTGAGAGCCAAACAAACCCAACATTACAACTAGTAAGATCAAGGTGTATGTTACTTAGACTTCACTTCAGGAAAGCATTTAAGCCTATATATAACTGACGGTAAGACACTGTTTAACAGTTCAGTATGTCCTGACGGAATTACAGTCCTGAACAGAGACTCTCACCTCGCATCTCTGTGGTCTGCTGGCATATTACAGATTGAGAGGATTAAATTATTTTGTTGTTGTTCTTTGCGATGTCTTTTTGAAATTAGATATTGCTCTTGTTTTAAGCATACTTACAGTTTTCTTACTCAGCATTGCCTATCTTTATATGGGGTGTGCTGTGCACCCACCACATAAACCTCTTCACTCTAGGAGGGAACTTCAGCAGCAGCATTAGCTGCTCACTCTCCTGAGGATAGCAGGCAGGGGCATGAACATTGGTGGCAGAGAAGGCTGAGCCTGACTTTGCTATGGAAGCTTACCGCTCTCCAATGAAAAAGGAAAAGTAAGAATCTGACAAAGCAAGTCACAGACACCCCAAATGAAACCTGGCTTTCAACAGCATTGAGTGTCACAACCAAGTTCAGTGTTTCCAGTTTATAATCACCTGGACCTTGAATGTGCCTTCACAGTGGAGTTGCGGTGATATGAGGTGCTCCTAGTCAGTGCTTTAAGTGTACAAAAGATAAGTTTTATGTCATTTGGTTTTTTACTCATTTTCCTCCAAAATGGATACAGCATGTACTCAGGTTCTCTGTAGTGTCTGAAGTTAAAGGCTTCAGGCCTGAACCAGGAAGCATTTATTAGTGCCTACTAATATGAATTCTCACAGGAAGCATAAACGTATTTATCCAAACAAAACTCATAAGCTGACTTGTCACTGGGTTTTCAGTTAACAGAGAACTTTCTGAAGCAACCGAGTCACAGAAGGAGACACGATCCAATTTTGGCTGATCTGAATTTTGAGATAACAGTCTTGGGAAAAAAAAGTATGGAGAACTCGGCTTGCTAATTAATATTTCCGAAGTGTCAAAGGTTATGGCCAAGTAAAAATGATGGGAAACCTTCTGAGCGTCACACAAGAAACCAGCTTTCAGCACATTTCCTTGTCTGTGCAGCTAGGATATCTCCAGACTGACAGCAGAAGCTGAATCCAACTGGCTGCTCAGCGAAGCTGCTGAAGTAAATACTGACGTGGCTGTGCTCCAAAGCAGTACTGGGCAGGACTCGTGCATTTTTGAAGTAACATTTAGCAAAGTTCTGAGCACCACTGGGCAGTTTGTGGTTGCAAACAGAAACTGCATCAACTCTAGCGAGTTCTCAGTCATTTAATCTGTGAGTGCCTTGTTTCAGATGATCATAACTGCAAAGCAGACAAATGCTAGGCAATTTCACAAGGTGCAGATGAACGGAGAGTAGAGCACAGGAGAGAAAAACCAAGGTAGCACTGGAGAGAGGGAAGCTCCGCACAACTACCCGTGACAAGTTTGCCATACTTGTGAAGAGTGCTTGTATCTCGGTACATTGGAGAGCCAGAGATCTCAAAGCCTTTCCTTTCCCTTATTCTCCGTTTTATTATGGTCTAATGGAATTCGCTGCAGTAACAGAAAAGAATGCATCAATCCCTCCTCTGCCCCAAAATGCTCTGTTTCAAGAGAGCGCTGCACACCACAGCCCATGAAGTCAGCTATAAGCAGTTGCATTGGCCTACTTTGCCGTGTGCTTCCTTGTGATTTTTAATAGCGCTACATGTCTTCTTTATCCCAAACCAGCAGTTCTCATTCTGTGGACTAGAATATCTGCTGCCATGCCAGAGCTTGAAATTATGTCACAACACAGATGCGCATCAACGCAGAAATTTTCCTATGTGCTCCAAAGCAATCGGCCTCCAAACACAAATCTCTGATAGCAGAGTGATTGTTCTTCTAATCCCAGCTCCTCTGAGCATAAAATCTTCCTCCTGTAATACAGACACTTATTCCAACAGGAAAAGGCAGCACTGGGCTGTTTAATGGAAGAAATAATTAAGCGGATCAACTTCAGATGAATACAAAATGAACTAGATAAGCTTTTCATACAGCTACCAGGCAGATTACGCTGTTCTCTGGCTCATCAAGGAAAGAAAACAAGATGCTCTTCACAAAGCATGAGGACTGACACACGCTCCTGAGACAGACCTCCCTCTTTCAGGGAGGCATCCCTCTTAGTGAGTTGTTTAATTTTCCTGCTAGGTTGCAGATGCCAAACGAGTAAATATTCTTCTGGTAGGGTGGCATTATGGTCTCCTGAATTTACAGGAAGAAGCCACAGAGGCAGAATAACTGACGTGGATCGTCTCAGATGCGTAGGTGCAAGCTCTACAATATTTTAACGTGCTGCTGAAGAGTTACGTGAGCAGCTCCTCTGAATTTGGGGAGATTATTCTTTTGAGTAGGATTCAGCCAGCACAGTAGGGAGGCAACAAATGTAGTTCATAATTTGTAAGGCTGGAGATTGGAATAGGGCATAGTTAACACAAAGTAGCCTGGAGTTCTGGTGATTAAAAGACGCGTTTAAGCAGAAATAATCAGAAATAGAGTTCATAATAGGAAATTTATATGACTATAAGGAAATCTCTTTCAGATCCTTTGTCAGTGAGAAAAGGCTATATAAGTGCAGATGTATTTTATGAAATTAATTTCATTTACTCTTTTTTTTTTTTTTAATAAAAGCAGTATTTTTATTCTGTTTTGGTACTAAACACAAAGGCTGAGATACATCTTTGTTTCAAGCCTTTGAGCCTTACAGTTACAAATGCATCTGACCCTAGATATCTGTTACGCATTATTGAAGATAGAAAGCAATGCTGTTGTTGTGTAAGAATGATAATTTATTAATCTAATCCAAGCTCTGTGAGCCCCTCAGTCTATCATAGCCTTTGCTCCTTTTTACTCCTGATTTATTTACAAGTATACATATATATATATGAACATCACCAGGCAGCTATAGGGCACTGAGAAGAATTTCTATGAATTAAAAATCTAGCTCTCGTTCACACTGTTTGTTTGGATGCTCAAAGTGCCTGGTCTGTATCACTTTCTAAGCAGGTCATCTTTTTAGAAAAAGGAATATTTAAATTAGCCTCCACTTGGAGCGAGGAAGGAATGAAAGTAAGAATGAATAATGAAGACTTTAATTCTTAACTAGGACAATGTTTTCTGAAATGACTACTCATTTTAGGAGGCAAATTTCTAACTGATACTACAATCCATATAGTTTTTTTGACACTAGTACAGTCTTTTCTGCTGTCAAACATATATTGATCAGGAATATTAGAATGAAAATGTTTTTTTTTTACTGAACATTTACTGAGATAAAATCAGACACCTTCACAAAAACTTCTATTCGTAACACCCCATTGGCACTGGAGTCTCATCTCATCCGCTGGTTGAACATCCTAAACTCTTTTCATGAGTTTTTCCTATAGCATTCTGTTCTCAAAAGGTCCTTACAGCAAGACTTCACAGTGATTACACACCTAGTATTTTGTAAGTCATAGTTTACTAGTACCAGTTTTTCTTCAGCTAGCAGTTCTCTTGAGAATTTTAGCTCTACCCTCCTCTTCTGAAGGTAGAAAGTGAATTGAAACTGATAAAGCTGAAGGCAGTTGGACAGATTCAAACAGCAGTTTGTTCTTTTCCTGCAAAGAACAGTAGTCTAGGAGAAAAAATTACAGCAAAAAAAGAAACAAACTTGCATTTGAAAGCAAACAATTTTTAAGTATTAAAGGATGGTAAAAATATAGAAGAAAAATATACAAGAAAGAAAAATTACAGAAAGAAAAGCTTGGCAATACCTGTGGAATCTAAGAAGTATCATCACAGGCTATAGAGAACATGGATGGCTAAATGAGAATCTGAAGGAGGGTTATGGAGAGCTCAAAGCTATAAAAATGTACATAAAGTTGTTTGCTCTAACATCCAGGAAGAGCCAGCATATGCTAAAAGGTGCAAAGGAAGAAAGTTAATTTTTAAGAGTCATTGAGTTTTTTATTGAATATAGTGGTCAAGAACA